TTGGACTCATACAGTATCCAGGGATCTTTCAGATTTGAGGGTATGGACACAACTCTGTCACGTTCAGTAGCAGAATTCCAGGACACTGTCACTGATGGTCTGATCATCCAACAGAACAGGCTGACAAGTTCCTAGGTTATTGCAATATTACTTCATGACACCTCTGTCTCACTGCTTCCTTCTTCTTTGATGTGATACAGAAAGAACTATTACAGTACAATATTTAGCCTCCTTGAAACTTATTTGCTCAGAATAATAGAATTTTTGCAACTTTGCTCTTTTGCCCTGCAGAAGAAAAGGTTCAGAGGTGGAAGAATGACTTCTACTTCCCAGGAGACTGACCAATGTGTTCCCTTTCTCTATGAAAGCTTTTTTTTTCATACACATATCCAAAAAACAATCTCATCTTGGAGTCAGAAGCAGATACTGCTAATGTTCACAATTATGATGCACGCCAGGTCGTGTGCTGTCTAGTTGATTGGCACATCTCAAGGCTGACAGAGACCAGAACTGTGTGAAATGTGAGATGAGAGTTGTTGTCAGGCATTCCTTCCTTTCTCCCTCTGCAGCAACAGGGGCTTTACCTCCAGGCACAATTCTGATGGATACATTTTGGCCTTACCTATTTCATCTTTCAGTCTCGGTCAAAATCAACGTTTCCACAGTACTGCATGAATACAGAAAAGAAAACAGAAAATATGTAGGAAAGGGGGACAAGAGACAAGGATCAGCTTCTAATTTACCCAGTGCAAAGCTGAGCTGTGTAACACACTGCTCCCAGGAGCCACTGCCCTGCTCATGACCAAAGGAAAGCAACACTCCTCCCCAGCATTGCTTTAGGCTGTCACAGCCAGACTCTGCCTTTCCTATGGACTAAAGATAAAAAACCAATTTAATATTTGACACCCTTTGAGTTCCCAATACATTTTTTTCAGGTCCAGGTTTAATAGCCACAAGACTAAGGGATATGGAAATACATGATGCATCAGATACACACCATGGAACTACCCGACTTTCAAAAACCAAAAAAACACAATAAGAGTTGGTAATAATGATCCATGTCTTCCTATTTTTTTTTTCTGTTTTACTACAGTACAACTAAGAAAGGCTATGCACATAACTGTTTCAAATCTGCCTCTGCTATTTTTATCTCATAATTTTCAACAGGAATACGTTGTATCTTTCAGAATTTCATAGTCCTGTATCTCTCAGAGGCATTCCCTATATAGATACAGAGTTATATTCACTATACATTACTTGTTTCTTAAATAGTTTTTAGATCGTCTCCATTTTAGTTATTCCTTGGCTTATGCTAATAAACCAAGCAACAATTCCTATCTGTAATCAGGGAGTTAAAACTTTTTAAGACAGTCATTCTTAACATGTTTTTTTTAATCCCATGGGATACCTCTGGCATGTGTTAGGTATAATGGCAGAAAAGATCATTCTAGGTCACTCCAGACCTCAAAATACAGGAATAAAAATCTAATTTTGCCAAAACAAATTACGTAAAGTATATAAACCAGGCTATATGAGGGGTTTTTTTAAGAAATCAAACTCAAGAAACATTTCAGCACTGCTGCACACGCACACCCACACAAAAATAAATAAATATTGATAATTCAAGTCTACATACCTCGAGTCCCTCTTGACCTATTGAATAACTCTGTACAGCACTGCTCTAAGGGACCTGAGACAAAAGGTCTGAATATTAAAAGCTGCAGCAATTCAACAGAACAATGCAACATCCTCTTAGACTTCGGTGCACCCTGTACTACAATCACTTCTTTCACTTAAACAGCAATATTAAGTACTTGTCCACAGGGAAGGAAACATTTTCTAAAACATACCATATTTTGATCTACATTTATATAATTTGCAGTGGAGGGGAAAAAAAAAAGAGGGCATGTGAAATGCTGCACCTGATAAAGTCAAACGACTCCAAAGGATTTGAGAATATTTTAAAAATATTTTGGACAGGATAATACTGAGGTTCACTCAACATTTGATCAATATATGTAAAGTGCCTAGTAGGAATATGAAAAACCCAAGGCATATGAAATATTAGCTAACGTTTCCATCCCATGGGTTGGGTTAATATCTTCTATCTCCTATCAAATATAGAGAAACTCAGTTTTAACCAAAGCTCAACTTACCTTATTTAATTTTTGTTCCCAACTCTGTCAACAGGAAACTTGCCTCAGTAAAGAAAAAGGAGACAATCTTAATGCATATGAACACATATGAAACACAAAGCACAATTACCTACATTAGGGAATACCTAAATTATAAACATTTCACTACTGAAATGTTTATAATGTGGTGCTATGTGTCTATGGGCAGACCGATCTTCAAGGCGGATCAAAGTGAACTCTATTAAGAATTAGAGTTGGCAGTTCACAAAGCTATTTAGAGACTCCAAAATGTAAAATAGATAAATACTGCAAGTAGCAGAAAGAAAACTTGCCACAAGACTTCCTAATGTAGTGATGCTGGCTTTTTTTTTTCCTACAACACAAATATGTCAATTATTCATCATGTAAGAATTTATATATCTTAAAACAAGTATGACCTATTATCAGCTGAAATTCAGCATGAAAACATGCCCCATCCTTGGAAAGTGTTTAGGGTCAATGGTTAGTATCCATTCCTAAAATGGATGTAATTTTAATTCTTAGATGGCAATAAAGGATTTTGAACCAGAGTTTGCCACTTCCTACATAAGTATGTTATCCAATATAAAGGCTGTGGAATAAAAGGGAAATTTCTTTTTTCAGCCTATTTTTTTAAAATTTGAAATTAAATTTAAAATAGTGGCCCAAGCTACATTTGTGAGGCAGACACCTCTTCATTACTCTTTAGACATGCTCCCAAGGGATCCTGCTAAATTGTTTTTTTTTTAAACAGACATACTAACTGGATCTGGATTCTGGCTGAGTTTAGATACAAACCAGGTGCCAAGTTGGGTGCCTGCACTCTATGACCCTGGTTTTACCCAGCTCCCAGAAAACCCAGAAAGAACTTCAGGATTTTCAGGTCAATCCTGTAAGTGCTTGTTCTTGCAAGCAAGGGATTTGTGGGAAAAGTCCCGTAACTTTTCATGTTCCAAGTTTCAAGTAGCAGAAAAATGTAATAGACCATTCTGTGGTTTTGAGATCATGCTGAATAAGGATGGAGTGCCAGCAGTTTTTAAATAATTTCCTTCACTATTAGACATAACAGTGACGGTGGAAGTTTGAACTAAAACTTGCTTCCTCAATTAAATATTATCCCCTTGCCACTCTGAACTACAGCCTGTAAGGAAAACCCTGGAGTACATGCTCAAGCATGCATATAGTCCCATTAGCTTCAGTGAGCATAATGAGAAAACCAAATGAGAGTTTAGGCTTAAGTTATTATTTTAACATTGTTCAGAAGGACTGAACTATTAAATGTTTCTTCAGAGAGATGTATTGAAGATGTTGTTCTCATGGGTTTTTTTCAGCAGAGGCAAGTTCTGTCTGATTAATGGCAAATTGGGGGTTTTATCAGTTATGGGAATTGTTCAAATGACATGGATTTTTATAGGAAGAGGGTTGTTGAGGGTCTGAGAAAGTTGAAATGAAAAATTATCCTTAGGTGTTGATGTATAAACATCAGATTTAAGTTTTTATTATTCAAAATTCTTTCTTATCTGGAAACATTTAAAAAAACTAAGAACATTGATAAAAATGGTTATAGCCTTAGCATTTTCATAGACTCAATAACTGATACCCAAGAAATATTATTTAAAGTGTGCCTTATTTTTTCACTCTAGGGAAAATAAAATCAGTTATCCATTTGCAAAATCTTGTGGCATCACATGACCAACCCTCTACACCATGCCAGAAACAAATGTACAGCAAAACTTCTTCATCTAATTAATTAGAAATGTCATATCTACCTGCTAAGATTAATAAAATGTATACCAGTGAGATAATAGAGGAGAAAATATTACTTTTTTAGGTTTTGATGGGCAATATTTTACTGGCTTGTAACTTGTGAAATTGTTGTACAGAATTTCATCTGGAAGTCAGACATTTGACCATATGGTTGCAATATAGCTCACAAAAATACAAGATTAAATGCATCTTTTTAAACCCATCCATTTTTCACTTATAGAAAATACAAGATCAAATTGAAAACTCACATTTTTATTATTAGTCTTTAAGAAATAACAAAACATTAAGTTGTTGTCTGCATTCAGATTTAGCTTCTAGTTTGAGACAATTTTTGTTTTCCCCTCAAAAGAGCAGGTTGATCATTTGCACTGCACATATTATAATTAACTGCTAAGTAGTTCTTTCTATGTTATACAGCCAGGCATAGAAAAAACCTCTGCTTTGTATTATATAACTCCAGAAAGCTCTCCAAGGAAAACATTTATTTTGTGTGTCTAAGTGGCAAACTTACAGGTATATGTTGTTCCTATACATATAATGAATCATTATTTCAACTTAAAGACAAATTTCTTTAAACTGCTGATACTGAAAAAGCAGCTGTTTCTTAACAGGGAAAAAAGGTATCTTCAAAATCACTTTAAACAAAATGGTTATCATATTTAGAAAGGATTTTTTCCCCTCATCACCTCACTTGAGCTTGGGAATCTTAGATTGTTTGTGCCAACTTTGCCTCAGTGACTCATTCTGATTAAGCTTTTGGATTTGTTGTTTGTGTTCTTTATGTACCATGGTGCTGTGCCATTTTGAGAGCACAGATTATATTTTTCTAAACAAAATGGGATGTATAGAGTCCTTCAATCATATAGAATTACTCAGCGTCCCTCTGGTCTTGTACAAAAACCTAAAAAGAACTGTTTAAAAAGTGGGGGTGGATCAAGAAAGCAATTAAATCGGGTTAATTGACATTATTCTGGACTCAAAAGTGTTCACTTGGCTCTGAGTCCTGTGACTAATGAAGTATTTGTTTGCACAATCCATCTGTGTGCAAGTGCTTGAGGAAAAAAAAAAACAGACAGAAAATATAAACACAGCTTTTAATAGATCCATTAACAAATAGATAAGTTGACATTTATCTTTGATATGTCAACTACAGATAAATATCATTACTACATTTACACGTGTCCCCATAAATTTCCCTTGAGCACATAAGGTTTTTTTTAATTCACTTGTTGTCTTAGACCCAACCTGTCAGTAACAGCACAAACTCCAGCTGTAGAAATAGGAAATCCTAAAACAGAAGCTGTAAGAAAATTTTCTTCCAGCTATAAAGAAAAGAATTTCCCTTATCCTTTCATGTCTGTTGATAGGTGTTGTTAGGGTCTGTTGACCCTAATGTCAATTACAAAAATTCTTATTCTTGGATATCCCCATGGAAGAAACAAATTCCCTTTTTTGAATGAATTAGGGCTTCATTTTTTCACTTGTGTGTGTGCAAGTACACTGGCTGTATATTCTGCCATGTCTGTGAACAATGAAAACCCACACAAAGTGGTGTCTTTGCAATATATACATTCATGTGGAATATGCAAAAGGCACCCAGAACTGCTCATTTTCTGCATTGTCACAGAACCTCACAACTGCAGACTTTTACCAGGCCTTTCAGTTCCCAAAGTCTTTTCTCTACTTTTCATGCCATGCCGTTTAGGATTCCTTTGGCAGCATCTTTGGAGAGCTGGTGAAAGAATCTAGATAAAATCAGTGGCTTATAAATCCCCCTCATTTTCAGAAACCCTTTTATTTCACTGAGGTGCAGACACTCATTGCACAGGGGAACTGAGACTACTTTCACATGGTGCTTCTCACATAAATCTTTGGTTGCAAATCTGACTTTGGCCTTTGTGCAAAAGGTCACTTTTTGCCTTTAGGTTATTAGTCCATGTTTCAATATTAGCCACTCTTCCTAGGTATGATGCCCAGAGCTAGGGATTTTGCCATTCTCTTGGTTCATGATGTGTGTCAACCAAATATTTAACATTCCTGCACAGTAATGTTATTCATTGCAATACCTCTATCCTTTTCCTTATCCTAGCCTTTATCTTGCCTTGTACAGCTTAATTCACTTCTCTGTGATCCAGACTGGAGCTCTGTATGCCTCTTGCCTAGTAATTGGGGTTTCCTTTTGCATTAGAATACCCTTTACTTTCCACAGTCTAAGCACTTCCACGACTTCACAAATACCAGGCTTAATACTGAATCACCAAATGGTGTGTTTTGTCCAAGATTCCAGGGAATGTATATTCCTTACCAAGAAACAAGGCATCCCAGAAGCTCTCACCTCTAAGTTGTGAGATTTCCCTCCTAAATCTGGAGTGGGTACCATGTCAAAAACATTTGTGTGTCTGAGCAGCAAGTGCAGACACATTGTGATCTGAACAATAACACTCTTGACTCTTTTGGAATATGGTAACCAGCCTTGGTTTAAATAAGGCTATACATTAATCTTTCTGGTTACAAGGATGTTTTAGGGAGCTTCAACTCACCCAACTTCACTCTTTGCCAATGTCTTCAAGCCAGAGCATGTTTTTCAGCAAAGAGAAACCTTCTCTTGAATACACTGGCAGAAAAAGAATCCTTTTATGACTAGATTTGGAGGAATCCCTCTGATTTAAGGTGTTTATAGCTTTACATGAGGCCTATATGACACAAACGTGTTTTTAATTATACTGCACGCTGAAGTTAGCACAAGCGGTGTTCTGCAAAGACAATTTTGCTGTAGGATATGTAAGACATGGTCTCATTCAACAGGAAACAAGATTTTATCCAGGTTTGGTAGCTTCCTACTTTTTACATATGTTTGGAGCAGGTAGGTGAGCTAGAGCTGAGCTGGTGTCACATCCATGAGCCAGGAAAAATAAGGAATTTGAGACCCAGCCTCACAACTTATGAGGCTGGATCAAGGCTCAGAGTGGTGCAGCAGTGCTGTGCAAACAGCTTTTGTGCCAGTGTGCTGGTGAAATGCTGCACTGTGCATCTTTATCTGTTCAAACCCACATTGATTCAAGGAGATCGGCATCAGGCTCCAGCGCTCAGGGTTAACGTGTCCTTATGGAAAACGGAGATAATTTCATCTGTTCTCCCACTGCCTGTAAAATAAAAGTGAAAGAGGTCATACAAATGCAGTACAAAACATAGGACCAGGGAAAAATGAGTTCAGTAGAGAGAGAAAAATTAAAATTACACTTGCTAATGGAGAATAATCTGCAAGCACTGACTGTTTAATCAAAATAAATAAACTAATCAAACTAAATAAATATAAAAAGCAATTAAAAAAAAAAAGTTTTCTATGAAAATCCAATCACACAATCTAGTCTATCTTTTCCCAGTGGGTCTTCATTTACAAATTAGATGTTTACTGTTAGCTGGGTTGGCTTTTTTCCCCATAATTATCATATTGGACTACATATTCTCCTCTTCACACACAATGTCAAAGTACACCACTTAAATACTTGATAACGTATGCTGTGTAACTTAAAAAACCATGGCAATGACAATTATTGCCTTTAAAGTCAAGCAGAAATACTAAAATGCTACTTATTTCTATAAAATATTGCTCCACTTGCAGCTACAGAAACGAATATAGATTTATCATTACGCAAAAACAACGGTAATTTTGTGTTCGATGTCACAAGTTCTGTGTCTATTTTCACACACACACACGTGCACAGAAGAATAACAGTTAGAAATGTTGCCATTTTTCTTACAACATTTTAATACTTTTTCATTAACGCATTCTAAAATATCTGTGTAATTTGTAAGAATCTCAGTGAGTCATCTCCTAGGCTTTTAAAATGAAGTGTGGTCCGCATTCTTTAGGCTCAGTTTTCCTTTGAAAAGAGGTTCTATTAAATCGAAGTTTTCACTTCTAAACAAAACTAATATGTTCCTGTAAATTACACATTATTGTGTACTAGATGGTCTTTAACTTCTAGCATTTTTATTTCAATATTTAACACAGCAAACAAGGTGTTCAGCTTCATTAACACCAATTTTGACTACAGATTGCTAATCTATGGTAGTTGAACTATTTAAAAGCAAATTTGAAAAGCAACATCAAGACAATGTTCTTTTTTATTTTATTTTGATTTACAAAATCCTATATTTGCTCTGCTAGAGAAAAAATAGGCCAGAATTGTTTCTATTATTTTTTTCACTGGGAACAATGGAAATTGCATCACAGCCAAAATAAGCTCAGACTGATCGAATCTGTAACACAGCATCACATCTATGCACACCTTAATGTGTACACTGAGAGTTGATTGTTCCACTTCTGTGCCATAGTATGGATCTGACCCTGATGTAGTCGTAGGGAAAAAAAACCCAAACAAACAACACTGGAATACATGACCCAATTTAAAGCAGATATCTCATTGATTTCAGCCTCATGGCCCAAGGGCAAAAGGTTCAGCACTGCTGCCAGTGAAGTCAGTGGCAAAATTCCTACTGGGGACAATGTGAGTTGGTTGGTTATTGTGTCAAGCTTGCATCAGGACACTGAGCAGAATATTGGCCCTATCAGTGTCAATGGGATTTGTGCCATTTGCCAAGGAGGAGGACCAAGATTGCATTTGTACATGGGCAAAACTAGAGGCAAATAATTACTGTCCCTCTTCCTTCCTGGATGGATTTTGCTGGCACTGATTGCTAGTGACATTTTCATTTCAGAATTCTTTTCTTACTCTTAAAAATTAATTTTCTTATCTGCAAGAGTTACAAGTAATTTTTACTTTTTTTTTTTTTTTTTAAGTGTATTTATCTTTCTCTCTACATCTTTTCTGGTCTCTTTTTATAACACAACTTCTTTTCTCAACCTCTCTGACTCCAACCAGTGTGATTTTGGAGTCACGCAGGTAGCACAGATAGATTTATAGTTCAGGGGATTTAAAAAACTGAATGACATTGGGAAAAACTCTATTTCATTATTCAAAGGACAAAATCAAATTAGAACAATATTTTTAAATGTCCAAAAATTTAATAATGTTTCTGATTAGTTTAGGAGGAGTCATTAGCTACTGTTATAAGCAATATTTATAATTTTCAGCTCCCCTGTAGGTTTTCCCTGTTCATAAATATCAGTAGTCTATTATTTCCTTAATATCTTGTTCATTTCTACACCAGTGATAAAATTAGACCAGAACTATTTTTTAAGGATCTCTCAATAGGTTTTAGAGAAAAGATACAGTTGCAATATTGAGGCCAATCTCTGCTTTCCCAAAATTTACCACAACTCTCCATCAAAATCCATGGTATCATGAAATGACTTGGCATACACTAGCACAAGTAAATATATTCAGTGATGAGACAAGAAAACAAAATATTATATAGTCATGAGATAATGAATGAAGTTTAATGTCTAATAATTCATAATTAATTCTTCAGCATGTTTACAATCTCATTATTTAGGCATCTGAAGGTGAAAATAGATTTTTTTTTAAAAAAAGATGAGTAACTTAAGGATTTAGAGTTCCTGAAACTTCTTTAATGCTGTTAAAATGACAGGTATGTTTTAAATTTCCCTTCAGTCATTAAAATTATCCTTTGATCAATGACTTGGGTTTGTCTGCTTATAGCATTTTAACACATTACTCCATTTAACACATTATTTTAAAGAGGAAAATGCCAGAAAGGGACATTTCCTTCTATCTTTCCCCTTTCATGTTGACATCATTTGGAAGAGCGGAAATTAAAAATCTGAAGTTTTACAAGGATTTTAAATTTTTTTCTTAATTGTTGCAATTCACATAGAAATTTCTGGTTATCTGAAGGCCAAAAACAAAGTCAGAAAGATGCCATGATACCCTCTCAATTCTGACCATGATGAAATTATAGTTTATAGATTTCTATAGCTTCCTGACATCCTCCTGAGAGAGAAATTAGATGTTCAGTGAAGGAATGAGAACAAAATAAAGTTTTGAACAATTTATAATCCATCAGTATTCATAACCTTCTTGTTTCACATCTAAGGAAAGAGAAGGCAGAAGGAGCCACCTCCAAAAACAACTTTCTAGATGGAGAAAACGTGACTGAGTAAGAGCAGCACTCGGCCTGGCAGTCCAAGGTATCTGCTCTCTCCTCGAAGCTTGGATTAGCAACATTTGTGCAGCATATTTCTACAAGCATAAAGGAAACATCACTACTTTAACTATCTGAGGTTATCTACATTTCCCTGGCATATCAAGTAGAAAGACTAAAAGCTTTGCTTACTTAAGGATTACCTGGTATTGCAATTTATTATTCAACTGAACAGTCATTTTATGGCCTACGTTTGGTGTTTTCAGGTAGAATTGTGTAGGTATTAGAGGTTTAAGTTTATTATTCATGTAAAAGAGGATTAAAATGCTTGCAGGTGAACAATGTCTTTAAAAAAGTTGTTGAGATAGGAAAATTATAGAATACCAGGCAAGATTTTATACCTAGTGAACACTTAATAATCAGCATTTTAATACTTCTGCAAAGCAATAAAGCTGGAAATACAGTAAAGTAATTCTTAAAATGAGTAGAGTAGAAAAAATGCAATTTCAGTCTAGATTCCAGACCAACATACAATGTCAATGAAACCTACACTGTTTGAACACTATACCCAGTCCTGGGTGAAAATAGACAGTTAAATTAATTCCTAATGTTAATGTTGAAATCACTGTGCCTGCTTACATTAGGTTGGAATTTTTTAGCTACTATGCCTTAAAGTATTTATTATCAGCTTCATAAAATACACCATTTAAGAACATATGGCTTGGCAAAACATCACCCTTTGCTTTAATGTTTCTGGAGTTCGAGTTTATAAGGGCTGTTTAACTGCTGAAGGAAGAAAATAGCTGTAGAGTGAAATCACCAGAACTGTTTGAGATATGAAAGCATTCTTACAAGAAACTTGCTTTTAAAGGCAGTCAGAGTACTATTAAAAAGACTGGTAATAGCAGCAGCAGCAGCAGCAAGTCAAGCATATACGTACCAGTTAATGTCTGCCTGGGTAGCTCACAGTCCTCCACTCATCAAATTAGTGAGTTTTTTGCTTTGATGACTATCAGTCTTCGAGACAAAGTTGACCCTGCATAGGAACATCTTCATTTTCTTCTTCATCCTTGGAGATGAAAAAGTGCACTTTCATGTAAGTTGTTAGGTGCTGGGAAGACATTTGTAAACAATCTTACTTTAAAAGGACAAGTCATGAACCTCAATGCCAACTTTCGTTAAAGCAGTTATTTGAAAAGCTTAAAGTGAGATTCAGAGGGACAGAAGAAAGGACACAGTCACTGCTAGGATATAATTTACTGCTTAAAAAGGAACTTTGAAGCAGATCACAGCTATAATTCAGGCTAATGTTTCATTTCGTTTTATAGGGAGTCATTAGAAAATGCTTTGAAGCATAAGAATGTCTACTGGGCTTCAACTGATCTAGGAAGGGAAGATCTCAAACAATTTAATAGAAAGTTATGCAAAGATCCAGACTTCAAGATAAAAATAGACAATGTACTATGCAGAAAATTATCATCATTTCTGATGCCCTTGGGTTTTGCCCTGAAAGTGCTTACTCACTAAAAAAAAAAACAAACCAGTCTTAATGTCTCCAAGCCCCACTTACTTTCTGATTAGAGTATTATAACTTACATGAGTAAGCATCTGCAGGATAAGTGCTTTTGCAAACAGTCTGAGAGAGGCCAGAAAGTGAATGAGCACTGGAATGGAATGATGCATTTAGCTGTCCAGGAAGCTTGGGTATATCCGAGTCCTGCCCTGCAGGCAGTAAATTACCTTTCTGTGAGTAAGCAGGGCTTGTAATCAGCAAAGCCTCTAAGACGAGAACTACATTTGCTTGTGCAACTACCAACCATAACCCTAAATGAATAAATAGCTAGCTGGAGGTGTCTGACAGCACTTTGGGGATCTGAAGGTCTCAGGTAGCTAAGCATAAGTAAAGTGATGGATTCAACTGGTTTGGACTTGGGAGATGCAAAGAAATCTCCACATAAAGGCTAAGGTGTCCTGTACCGAGAGGCACCTCAAGAGAGGAAAGGCTGTAGCCTCTGCACCTCCCAGTAAATCTGCATCTATCTCGTCTATAAGCATCTGATAAATGTCTTTATCATGTTTGGACGAATTTGCATGTAAAGCAAAAGAAGAAAATATCCTTCTGCATCAATTATCAAGAATATAAAGACAGCTGTTTGAAAATCCAGAATTTAGTACCAATGTATACATGAAACATTCCAGTGATGCCAAATTTCAGGTCAGCATGGCTGTATTTCTGAGATACCAGAGATTTTTGCTTTCAACCCAAAATCGTGAAGTTTGGCATTTCACAGAACCACAGAACAGCTGAGGTTAGAAAGGGAATGGGGAGGTCAACTTGCTCAAACCCCCTTCTCATGCAGGGCCCTAGAGCAGGGCAACCCAGAACCCTCTTCAGACAGCTTTTGAACACCTCCAAAGATAGAGACTCCAAAAACTGCCTGGGCAACCTGTGCTGACATTCCATCATCCTCACAGCGTTTTCTAGTGTTCAGAGGGAATCTCTTGCATTCCTTTTGTGACCATTGATTCTTGTCACTGGGCACATCTGAAATGAACCTGACTCTGTTGTCTTTGTGACCTCCCTTCAGGTATTTGCACACATTTACAAGATGCTCCTAAGCCTTATCCTCTCCAGGATGAACAGTCACAGTTTTGTGATACGATATTTTAGTGATATGAGAGAAGCTCCAATTCCTTCATTATCTTAGTGACGTTTTGATGGATTTTCTCCTGCAGTTCCATCTCTCTCTTGTATTGGGTAACTCAGAAGAGGATCCAGCACTGCAGATGTGGCTTCACAAGTGCTGAAAGAGAGTATCTTTATTTTACTTAAAGATAATACCTGGTAGAAAAGGGCTATTTCTCACAATTTACAGATATGTATGTGGGAAATTTTTCAGTACTAAATATAAACTAACAGGAAAGGGGAGAGTCTGTCATTATAAAATTGCTGGCATTGAGTAACAACTTTAAAGAAAAACAGCACCAGAAAAAAACCAAACAAAAGAAAAACAGGTCAGACAACCAAAACAATATGAAAAAAATAACATTGTCTAGGATTGCTCTCTTCTAGTTGAAATGTATATTTTTCTATAGCTAGTAGCTCTTACAGTGCTGAAGTATCCAACTAAAAGATCACTGCACATTGGAACAGAATGTCAACACTTGTGTGCAGAAAAACCAACAGACATAGCACAAGCTAAATAATGTTGTAAAAAAAAGCTCATTTTAATTCATGCAGGAGAAAATTATCATTGCATTGTCAAATTGAAGTATTTCCAACATGGGAATTCCTGTTTCATCATGTATTATCAGATTATGGCAAAATCTTCAAGTACTGAGCCTTAGATGGAACCTCTTATATAATGTTAACATATAAAAAAAGTTTTTCTCAAATTAACTTACAATTTCCTGTTGAAACCAGGGAAGAATGATAACCACATTAAGAGAGGGTTACTGAATTCATTATGATAATTATTCTGAAAACTGTGCAAGAAAATTCTCAATGCACACTGCACTCAGTACCCAAGTTTAGACACAAAATGAGGAATTTCAGAAGCCAGATGCAAAAACAGCTCCACTTTGAAGATGTGTTTTTTCCTGTATATTTGGTACAGAAGTGACTTGTGAATTCAAGCACTTGCTATGAGACACCAAGACTCATTTCTCTTTCAGAATAGAGCTTTCCAGACTTTTTCTACTTTCTAGTTCATGTTACACTCTACTCATATCTCATGTACCTGAAGATGCTCTTGCTTTCAGTGCTATTCTGTCAATTTAGGGTGTTAAATTCACATAGCAGGCACCTTTGTGATTTTCAAGATTTATTCTTGATGAAGCAGCGTATGAGTCAAGTGGAAAGTCCTACACATGATCCCTCAGGGGTTTACCCCTAATAGTTCTCTCCTAATATGCAAAGCTCAGACACATTGATTTTGTAGCTGAAAAAGGAACATTATTTGCTGTCTGTGGAAAATACATGACATTTCCAACACCCAACCAGCTTTTGTTGAGACCAATACATGACAATTTCCAACACCCAACCAGCTTTTGTTGAGACCAACTCCTAATGAGGAAGATTTTCACAAGTTGAATCAATATTCATCCTATGGCTCACTAAGCATCTCTTACAAGTAAAAGGTTGACTGGGAGAACTGCTGCAAATTGTTGGCTCCCACTCACCATGTATGATACATAAAAAATTCACTTTGGCAGTACCAAGAGTTTGAGGAAAAATCCAGATGCTATGTCTAACAAGAGTTGTCATGCTCTACAGATCAAAAGAGCTGTGTGATGACTCTACTGAGCCCTTCAAACCATGCCCACATCCCCAAATCTGGAAAGAAGCAGGGGAAGAGTTCACGGCCTCCTGCTGACACAAGCACCGTATTCATCCCACACAGCATCTGCTTAGACTGCACACAGGGGAAAGATAAAAGTTTCACAGTGTCAAAGGCATTACTAAAGTCCAGGTAGACAGCCTTCACAGCCCTGTCCTCATCCACTAAGAGGTCACCTTGCCACAGAATGACATCAGGTTAGTTAAACAGGACCTGTCTTTCACAAACCCATGCTGGCTGGACCTGATCTCCTGGTTGTCTTGCACATGTCTCATAGTGGCATTCAAGATGATTTTCCCCATGACCTGCCCTAACACCAAGGTCAGGCTGACAGGCATGTAGTATCTGCAGATCATCCCTCTGACTGAAATGAGACTCTGGTTATGGAGGAGAAAAGATCCATGCCTTTTTTCTTTTTTTTTTTTTTGAGATAAGAAAACCTTAGCTGAGCTCAACCAAAAACATCCTCTTCTCATTCTGTACTGGAAGCAAGACCACAAAAGCAATGCCTTTCATCAAAGTTTCTTAACTCATTATTATTCTGCTCACATTGCTATAAGTAAATAGCCACACTTGTTCAAAAAGTATGAGTGCTTATGCATTCTGTCAGGCAGAGTGTCTTAATGGGCAGCTAGCAGACAGTCTCTCTTAATAAAATGAGAACCAGGAGTCTGGGAGGCGTTTTTGAACAAAATCATGTGTTTAACATGGAAAATACTCTATGAGCTCAGAGAAGTCAATGGATTCAAACTAGGTCTGGATTTCTCCCAGTGCTTTCTATCATTTGCAGTGATAATTAACACATTTGCAAGGGTGGCTCCAATTCCCCAGCTGACATCAATTATGCCAATAGATTCACAAGTATTAATTCCCTACAATAAATGGAAAAAGGAAAGTATAGTTGCCAATATATAAAGGTGCTAACTAAACGGCTTCCAGGATGTATCGTTCTCCGATGTTGTATAACTAGCCTACTTTGTCAATCTATGTCACCAGCATCAGCTTGCTGCTCAACTAATACAGATGTAAAAGAAACAAAACTTCACAAAAACAGGAGATGCTACAGCTTTGGCAAAGAAAACTGATCTGTTAAAAATGAACATGTCAGGTTCCATTGAAAATGATTGCCTGGCTAAAATGGGAATGAATGATGAGCCACCTGCTTTATTAATAAAATCACAAGGTTTTCTTGTTTGTTTGTTTTATAGATGCAAATCTGTGTTCCACGGATCATTTTAAAATGTGAACAAAGATTTTAAAAGAACGGGAGTTATTTTTAAGGATCTTCCCCCTCCCTGTCATCATAAGCTTCATAAATATAAGACTTTTGCAGCAGAGATTTCCCCTTCCTTCTGTTTTGGCCCCAGGGAATATCTAGAGAAAAATAAAACTAGATCTATAATATGAGGGAATCAAAACCATAAAATGTGAGCAGCATTACTGGAGAGATTGCTGGAAGACCGGGCACAAATCTCACTGGGGGCAAGATGACAGGTACATTAACTTATCTGCAGACTGTTTTAAAGCCCAGAAAAGGCACAGCACAGCGGAGAGGCAGATGGCAGAGGACCATAAGCTGGAAGGTCACTACTTTAACACTGGTGGCAGCTGGTAAGCTGCACCCCAGTCCAGCCAGGCAGGACACAATCAACCACAGGGAGGCCTGCACTGCTTTGTTACAGTAAACAGCATTTCTTGTCACTTTGAGGCTTCTGCCCCAAACCCGCCAGACACTGAGAAATCAAACTTGGTGCAGCAAGATCTTTACCCACCACTCAAAGCAGCTGCCTCTCAGCTGGACCAAAACCTGCTGTTTATGACTGTAGAGTGGCAATGATAGCTTCAGACTGGGAAAAAAAGGAGTGATCTTGTGTTCAGCTGGGATGCAGTGGGGCATTTCACAGGCAGGTATCAGAGAGATAATACTGACTGGATGGAGAGTGTCAGGAAACTCACAGGAAATGTTTCCACCTCTACATTTTATTTTCTAAAACCTGTGGAGAACATATTTAAAATTTGTATGAATATGAGTATTAGATGTAGTACATCCATAGAATGAAGCAGAAATAATATTGAGAAAAAGCAAAATGGTTCATCTACCTTTTCCTGTTAAGTTTGGAACAATTAGTTCTTGTGACTGACTACCATTCACAGCAGTTTTCTCCACTCATTCATGAAATCAAAAAAAATTGCAATTTCTTTTACAGCTATTTAAAATGTGTAAAACCCAGCAAAATAATATTTCCAGCTACTGCTTTCTTAGAAGAATAATGGGCTAAAAATGAGCTATGTTCTGTCTACTTTACCAAATTCCTTCTTGTTTTTCAGTTTCTAAACAATAAAAAAATACTAATTACTTCATGAAGCATTTATTTCTCTGTAGTTCATGTTTCTGTACATAATATATATGTATAATCACTTAATCTGACAGCAAAAGAGACAGTAAAAGAGAAGGCTACAACTCCAGACAGACATATGGGAAAAAGCAATGCAGTATGAGATTTTCCATATTAGTTTGCTTTACCAGCAGAGAAATAAGGTCCCAGAGTGACATTCATTCATCCATCCCTCTGCCCTTCAGAATACCAATATTAGATAACAACATCTTCATTCTATTTGTCCAGAACAGAATTATCTCCACCTCTGCAGTACACACAATACAGGGAACAAGACACAGGGCTGTCATCACCCAGAACATGATGTATTTATAAAAAGCATTGGGGTTTGGTTGTGAGGGATGCACCATCCAAATTGGTCAAATTGCACTCAGAGAAATTGTTAGAGTTTAGCAGAAGATAAATAATCTCATCATCTTTAGACCACACTTGAGCAATGCA